CGGCCCTGCAGGGTGCTCTGGTTCTCCGCGCCGCCGCCCCCTACAGGGCAGCCGGAGCGGAACAAGAACAAAAACACCCCCCAAAAAAACAAACAAAAAAAAGCGGCCGTGCCACCCTAGGGTTGGGCAGAATTCCGCCTCCAACAATCTGCCGCCCCAAGCACCAGCTTGCTCAGCTGGTGCCTGGAGCCAGCCCTGTCCAGAACCACTGCTTTAGTCTCTGCTATCCTGATGCACATAGAGCCACTGTCCAGAAGCAGAGCTGCATTCTCTGTTGTTTTGAAATCCGTGATTCTTCTTTCCAAAACCAGCCGCTCAGCCCATGTCAGCAGTTATTATCCTACGTGTCAGTGACGATTCCACGATACATTCTGAGGAAGTGAGGTCTTGGCAGGTTAAGTTTTTTAAACAGCACATCAAACTGGTCTCTGTGTTGCTGGGTTGTGTTGTTGGGGAAACCTCATCCTTACTCAGCTATCTGATTGGCAGGTCCGGGCCTAGCATTCATTGCGTATCCAAAGGCTGTAACAATGATGCCTGTGTCTCCGCTCTGGTCCTGCCTATTCTTCCTTATGCTGATCTTCCTGGGACTGGACAGCCAGGTACAGTAAATACCTTGGAGTTAGCGGGAAAGAGGAGGGTTGTCTGTCACATGTTTGAGAGTCTCATGTAGATCATAACTCGTGGGTGGGAAATGGTGATGTGTCTCTCAGCCACCTGGAACACCTGTCACACATCCATGTCACTACTTCAGAATAATCATACTTAGAGCTGGCCAGTACATCCCAGCTGTCAGCTGGTGTTAGGTGTTACTCCTTAACAGTGACCTGCAGCACCTGTCCCTTCCAGCATAAGTCTCTGACAATCCAGTGACAACCTGCAGCCACGCCTCTTTGTCCTTCCCACCAAGTCTGCCCTTAGTGGCTACCAGTCATCCCTCATGAACCAGGTACTTCACTTCACATTTTGTGTCAATCTCCTCTAAATTCACTAGGACTCCCTTTGTATTGTGACAAGGTGCAAGGGTTGTGATAATCTCACTCAGTTCCAGATGTGGTTCCAGTTACTCCTCTGGGGCGCTCAATTCCTGATATTGCACCAGTGGTAACTCCACTTCCTTTGGGACTCAGATGCAGCGACACCTCCCTGTTTCCAAGCAGTTCATGCTTCAGGTGTAGGAAAAAGAGGAGAGAGACTAACTGAGTGGAAGAATGGAAGTGGGAAAGAGGATAGGTAGGGAAAGAGAGACATTAGGTCCTTGGTTTCTTGACATGAATTCTTCTGCAGTTCATCTGTGTTGAGAGCCTGGTGACAGCCATTATTGACATGTACCCAGAAGTTCTCCAGAAGAAAGGGCACCGGGAGTTGCTGACCCTGGCCATTGCAGTCATATGCTACCTGCTTGGCCTGATGCTAGTCACTGAGGTAAGAAGGGAAGTACATGGTGGGGGAGAGGGATATGGACTTGTTTGGAGGAGTATTTTCTGCAGCAAGTTTGTATTTCACACTGTTAATTATTCTTTCTCTCTTTAGCTTAGTTTATTAGCTGGTGCATATCAGAACCAGTAGTTCTTCTTTCTTATATAGTGCCAGTTGAGATGTTGTCATACTGTATAGCTGAGCCTTACTCTGGGGTATGTCTCAGAGATAACCTAGCACAGGGGTCAGCAACCTTTCAGAAGTGATGTGCCGAGTCTTCATTTATTCACTCTAATTTAAGGTTTCGCATGCCAGTAATACAATGTAATGTTTTTAGAAGGTCTCTTTCTATAAGTCTATAATATATAACTAAACTATTGTTGTATGTAAAGTAAATAAGATTTTTAAAATGTTTAAGAAGCTTCATTTAAAATTAAAATGCAGAGCCGTCCAGACCAGTGGCCAGGACCC